TGACCACAAGCTATTATTATTGCTCCAATATATAAAAATAATACATGGTTAGGCAATGAGCGTTTAAAAAATCTTTCGACAAACTGCATTGCCTGCACCAAATAAATTACGTAAAGGACTTTTATTAATACACCTGCAACTCAACCAAACTGCGTTAGGCGTGGCAGTTTGATGATCCACCAAATTGCAACGTCATTTCATCCCTTTGGTGGCACCTTAGTTTTTGATACTACACTAAAAATCGTTTCAGCTTAAAATCGCGGCTGCGAAATAATTTCACAGTGACCTACTGACACTTGACACTGTTGACAAACCCTACCGTGGTAGAAACATATCAGCTATGCCTCATCTGTATCATACCGTTCTATGGTCGTGATAATGCGTAACTGCCAGGCCATTGATTTTTCATCCCCGGATCCATAACCGGAAAACTGGACGACATAGGCCAATAAACTACGTCAACTTGCCTGCACCCATATATTCCCCAAACTCTCGAAATATTTTGGGTGCTACGACTTTTCTGCCATGCAGTTCCACATGAATTTGCAGTGTTGCTTTCGCTTTTAGTATGGACGTTTTGACAAACGTATGTATGTAGTCGATTACAAAAGGAATTAAAAATAACGACAGCGGCCGGATGGCAACTGCAAACAACAGCAGATAGGTAATTTTGATGCACGTTATTTTTGACACATAACCCCAGGTTTTATAAAGTGAAGGGGCAAACAGATATTCACATGGAAAACCTACCTGTGGGTGTTGTTGTCATTTTTGCAAGTTCAGCTGCAGGAGTTTTTAAATATATTAGATTATTCTGGTGAAAAATCTAGCCAAAATTCCTGCTAATATTCAGTGGATTTCACAAGATGTAAAGATGCTACATAGAAAACGTCTAGATGTAGTTTAGTCATCGATTTATTTGCGTCACTTGAAAGCCACAGTTCAAAACCCCCGCTGGTAAACCACACATGTGACATATCTGGGAAACTCCCATAATGCTGAATGATCAGTGATTGAAGTTGAAGCTTTTGGTGACAAAGCCACTGCGTCCACTGGCTTAAGCAAAGAAAATAAAAGAGATTTTGACAGTCGCAATCAGGCAGATTTACCACGCAACCCTCGCATAGCTTATCGTGAAACCTATTGCCAAACGTTGTGGGTTGCTTAGTCGTCAATTATTGACAAACACTATGGAACGTATGCTTAATTAAGATTAGTGCAAGTGTAGTGTTTGCTTGTGTTTTCGTCAACACATAAAGCGACCTTTCAAAATGAAGCTAGTATCGTGTTATCAAAGTTGAAGTACATTTTTCCCTCGGCTAATTTGATGGCTTATTTATAACGTGGATAGCATGCCCAGGCCTTAAAATAAAACCAATCTATTTTTGTGTAAACTCATGTTAGTTTGGCTAGAATTACTAGGGACTAGGCAACTAGAAGTGAATAATGAGTCACACAAAGGACAACAGACAGTTCCGTATGACGTTAACTGAAGAGCATATGCGCAAACGTTAAGTCGTTTTCGTAGCAGAATTGTCGCATCTACCAGTGGCGTATATACGGAAATGGAGTAAGGCCTGGAGAACTCAAACGACACTCACCGCGGTTTATTCAAAATTCATTTCGTTTTCGCATCATGCAAACTTGGGAAAGAACGTTTCCACTATCCAAACTATCTACAGGATACACACGTGTGTGTGTACACACGTATCACGCTTACTTGATAAATTCTGTGATTTCGCACACAGCCCAAATACTGAAGCTACTCCATACCGAGTGCTGTGGGCTATCGGTGGACCACAACATATGTGGGCAAAATGACTGTACGTCGAATGTAAGACGCAGTGTTCAATGCGACGCCCGCAAGGCCTCCTGGCACTTCAGATGAGCGGATTGGTAGGATAGTGATGAAAGCCAACTAGCTAGCTCTCCCGACCCGTTTTTATGCCCCAGCAGACACTACATTTAATCTGCAATGCACATTGCATTAAGGGGGTCACCAAAAGCATAAACACTTACGCATTGCTGAATCAAGAGGACCAGTATGATTATTTTGCTTTATTCGCATTACTCGTCGCAAACACTACGCACGAATACTCGGCGATCGATTATGCAAACGCCAAGAACGGTGCGACCTGGACAAACTTTCACAATGATATTGTTTCGCTAAAAGAAACCCTCGCGCTATCCATCTCGGTTCCGCTGGCAGCGAGGAAGTTCAATCAGCTCTTTGACGCGGCAATATGGATGGTCGCGGTGTCTTTAGTGAAAAGGCCCGCAAGGGAAAGCGGACTGATTAGTCACGGGTGTTTGTCGAGGAAAATCACGCTAAAGGAGCTGGCACAGTCGCTCCTGGGCAATCATCTCACAGAGCCTTCCAACAAATTGCTTTGCGGTGCGCAGTCTCGCCGGACGAAAAGCAGGCGAACACCGGGGCTTCTGGTTCTGATTTCTTCCTCACGTGTCTGCGGACGACTTTGGAGTGGGTTGTAGACATTCAGAAGCCTACCCAAGTATCAGGCGTCCACCCGGAGACCGCCCTCTGGAGGTGCGAAAGCTGGGCCTCACCAGTTCTGAGGCACATGTTTGAGACACGGTTACGCTTTGTGCTAGTATACCCGACCCCAAACTTACGGCCGAACCGGTAATAAGCCTAACTCGTTGTGCTCTTGAAAGTAGGCCAATGCAACCTGCCGCGTCTCGAGACAACAGTTTCTATTCAGCCACCATAAAGAACCCCCGACTACCACAGGCAGAGATGTTGTGGAGGAGGCAAGTCTCACGCATATTCAGCGCATTAAGTACATCCGGGCTACATTCCGTCAAGAGTGTGACCGCTTTATACTTATGTGCAGCCCTGCTTGTCCCAATGTTTCTCTTCTGTATAACTCATGAAGCTTGTTGTGATGCGCTGTTTATCCAAATCTCACTGCGCGGGTCCTATTTTGTTCGCGTAGGAATGTTATCCAGTTGCTCCTCGTGTCCGCCTGAACAGACTCAATTCCTAATACAGCTACCATTTCATTCATTTCCTGTGGATAGCTACAATGTTCCAAAGGCAACCCGGATGAACCTCGGACGCGTCACATCAAGCCTCCGTTTTGTAGCGTCGCAGACCGAAGTCTTTTAACAATC